CCTACAACACACTGACCTTCTTCTTCTTCCTTTTTTTTTTTTTGACGTTCTTCTAAACTTCCTAGCAGATAGAGGGTACTGACCATCCCCCACCAAAGTCCAACTTTCCCTCCCTTCTATCATCTCCGGGGTCCAACTCACAAAACACTCTAGAGAGCTCACAGGGGACAGATACTCTCCTTTCTAGGCTTTGCAGGCTGAGACTGTGGATTCCCAACTTTAGTGTGTTAGCTAAACCCCTCTTATGAAGTTGCAAAGGGGATCTCACTGAGCCTCTAGACCCAGCATCATCTATGAAAAAGGCTTACAAAACACATCTTCCCTAACCTCAGCTCCGTCTCTTTCCCCAACCTAGCCCTTCTCTGCGCCCTAAACCACTGGAACTCCTGGTACGGGAGTCCTAGGCCAGGAAATAGGGCCCCCCTTCGCTCGCTCCTGTAGCCTATCGATCTAAACAGCTACATCCAGCTGTCAGGGATGGTGCCCGTGCCTATGGACCCTGGCAGTAGCTGCTCTTTCCCTCTCAGTGGTAAATTGAGGACTTAATAGGAAGTATTTGACCTTGGTTCTACATTTACAACCATGGGCATAGGAAACTAGCCTTATTTTGAGAAATATTTGAGAAAGGTCTCCATTGTTCCGAGATAGAAATGTTTTCAAAGGCATGTTCTCCAGGCCCTGCCCCCCCCCCCACCTCCCACCTCCCACAATAGCCCTCCACTAAGGAGCAGTCTTAAATGAGCTACACAGAATCATTTCTGTGTCTGGCTACTTCACTATGCCTGAGGATTACCTGTAAATAAGAGCAATCAGGTTCTATAGCCAACCCACCGCCAGAAACCGTAACAAACTCTGTTTTGGCATCTCTTGCTGATACTGGTCAGACTACTACCCCTGGGGAGGGCTCAGGGATTAGAAATCAACTAGCACTAGGTCAAGGTGATGACTCACCTTGCTTATTAGGTTATTTGCTTATGCTATCCCACATCAACTTTGTAATATGTTCACTGTATGACGTGCATCCCTGTGCAAGATCTGTAAGGCCCATTATTTATACCCATTGGAAAATACAATCACTCTCAGTCCTGAGATGGGACGAGATGCCCCTGTGCCCCACTGTCTGTCTGTCTTTAATGTTTTCCACAATCACAAAGTTGTTTCTCAGCACCCATTCGAGTGTTGGGGTCCCCTCACCTCTTCTACAGTGATTTCATCTCACCTTTATTGAAAACTCAAGGTTTACATTCCAGCCCCACTCACCATTACACCTGGCGTCTTTAATTCCCATTTCTTCATCTTCACTCCAACACTCCTGTACTGAATCCTTGATCTCGTCACCAATTCACTACCTCACATCTCTGCTTCCCCGCTACTTGACCCAGACTGCACCTGTTTCATAGACGGCAGCTCAAATCTCATGTGTTAGTATGGGTACTTTAGAGAAACAAATCCACAGAAACTCATATGTGGAAGGGAGAGTTTTATATAAAGGGTAAGTGCACATCAAGAAAACATCCCAACCCAGTGCTGCCCAAGCCCAAGTCCAGCATTAACCCATATGTCCAACACCAATCCACACAGTCCTTCTCCATCTCACAAAACACACACTATGGTGCCGACTGCAGGAGGAAAGCCGAATCAGTGAACGTGTAAGCATCTCAGCACTGGCAGGGGTCTCCACATGACTGCTCCAGCACCCAGGGCTGCATTGAGGTAGGTCCATGTGGCTTCTCCTTGGGGATGTCTTGCAGGAAGTGAGCCTTGCCAGCTAAAGCAGGGAACTGGCTAAGGCAGCTGCACCCTGGTCTGACCATCACAAAGCAAGAGACCCAAGAACTAGAAAGGCGAGGCTCACTGGGCCATTTATCTCTACACCCTTCAATTAACCCCACATGTGTTTATCGGCCAGGTTGGCACAATAAACTTTAACTATATCAGTGTATATCAGGCTGGCTATGTTATAGTTAGCTCCTCAAATACACTTGGGGCACACCCTCTACCCAGTAACACCTCTCAGTAGCTGTGATGTGAGCCTGACGTTAGCCAAACTCGGACAAATAGCACAAGCTGAGTCCCCGGCATGAACTTCATCTCTCCTCAACATCACCTACCAATTTAACCAAACAACACTCACCACGCGGTGTTGGTTGTGCCTCTTCCTCTGACAGAGAAGACCTCTAGCAACCCCCTTCCATCTCCATGGGTAACCCAGCCATGAAGACCAAACCACCCCACCATCGGACCAGTGCTTACCCAACTACTTCTCTTTGCCAATCAAGACACTGCCTGCCACCTGGCCCCTAAAGGTTACAACCCATAGGCAATGTTTCTGCCAACTCTTGTCGTCAGACCCTCCTTTGGCTAAATACTGAGTCTCCATGCGGCTCACCTGGAATGTTTTTCCTATGGGACACATTTGTTTACGCATGTCTAGGGGCTAACTGGACAGGCCTATGCGTCCCAATCATTCTCACCCCAGACATAACTCTCCTGGATGAACAGACATGGGAAACACCAGACAAAAGTACACATTGGAATCACCCCCAGATCCTGTGGACACAAAAGAGCAGTGGTAGCCCCTATCCTTACTGGAACTAGTACAGCGGCTGCTCTGGGTGCTCCAGTGGGAGGAACTGGAATGGCTACTCATTTTTACTACCAACTATCAAGAGACCTCAATGTTGATATGGAAATAATAGGTGACACTCTTAATGCTATAAACCCAAATTAATTACCTAGTTGGTGTGGCACTACAGAATAGGCCAGTCCTGTTTGGTGACGGCAGATAAAGGGGAGCCTGTCTTTTCCTAGGAGAGGAATGTTACTGTGCTAATCAGGCATAGTTACACAAAACGTAAGGTAGAGATGGGAAAACATCTTTGGCTCTGGGAAATCTTGGGCCCCGTGACTTCTGCCTCTCCTGGGACCTGTTTAATATGCTTAACTCTGTGCTTCAGGCCTTGTCTGCGTCGCGGTTTTCAATGTTTTTTTTGCAGGAACTCATGTGCCTTCACCAGTCAGACCTACTCGGTGCTGTGTGTATGAGTGGGTTCTATCAACCCCTAAAGCGCTCACCCGATCCTGCCCTCCGAGACACAGCAGCCATCTCCCACCACCCCGCCCAGCAGGAAGCAGTTGCCAGAGTACTCCCTATTACCAAAAGGCAGGAATGATCCGTCTGGCTGAGTGGAAGGTGGCGCCTGGCCAATTCCAACAGCCCACGGCCTGTACCTTCCTGTGAGCCAAAAACCACACTAATCCTGCCTCATCCAAACTGGCCAATCGGGAGGCCGCTCAGTGCTCTCCCTTTGTGTCAGGGCTACTGCGCATTTTGGAGTAGTCTGGCAGGCTTCACTTCCAACAAAGTCCGTTTTTCGATCAGCTATCTGCACGAGCGGTTTCCAGAGTTATGGGAAGATGTAATGGAAATATCATGTCATTTTCCACAAACTTTTTAAAGACCCTAATGTATGGCTGGATCAATACCACGTTGGCTTCTAGCAGCAAGTGACCTTGAATCTCCCCCACCTGTGTGGAGCTGACCACAGCTGGTTGAGACAACTAGCAGCGAGTGACCTTGAATCTCCCACACACACCTGCAGAGCTGACCAGAGTTGGCTATTCTCGACCCACTGCTCTACACCCAGCATGGCCCATTTGGCTCAGTGCCCACTTTGTTCTTGGCCTGCCGCTCTGCACCTGGCACGAATACACCTGGAACCAGGAAGACACCTTACTTTCCAGAAACCTGGACTTACCTGTATCTCCCAATCCCTACTTTACCGTATATGGACTCAGGACAGCCCAGTTACATGTTCCCTAGCCATATAAGCACCACCTCTATAGCCTGGGACGCAACTCCCTCAGCCCAGACACTGTGGACCGTGGGACTTCGCCCAGGCTGGGTTTTTCTCCCCAATAAAGCCTGTTTGCTCTAATTCAACTGATTTGGTCTCTGGAGCCTCAACTACCTTACACCTTAATGTGTATGCATGCCTACATATAATGATATGGATATGTGGTTATTTGTATGCATGTATATTCATATATATGCAGATACATGGGCAATTATAATTCCTAGACATATCCACACACCTTGTGAATTTGGTTTTCTGGGTTTAAGGGTTAAGACTAGTCCTGTGGGTCAACAGGCATGAGATAGTATTGTATCGTACACTAGATTGTTGACAGCGTCTGGGGCCTGACGTTTCTGAGCAGGTATCAACTATGATCTGTTCAAAAGTAAAAGAGAAGGAAGCCCCAGGCTCCAGAGAAGACACCTTTACCTACAGGCTGTCTCCCCAGAGACAGCAGAACCAGACGAAGCCTGGCGACTGTAGATCACGGCTACAGAAGATGGATCCTGCTAAGAGTTGAAGAAGAATGTGGATTAACTTAAATGCTTAAAAAAAAAAAAAATTCCAGGCTTACGGGGTCCCGGGGAGGGAGGGGAAAAATGAGGAGCGAATGCCAAGGGCTTAAGTGGAGAGCAAATGTTTTGAGAATGAGGAGGGCAACGAATGTCCAAATGTGCTTTACACAATTGATGCTATGTATGGATTGTGATAAGAGTTGTATGAGCCCCCAATAAAATGATTTTTAAAAAAAATCCAGGCTTACTGGATCCATTTGAGACTTGAGGAATCGGGAACTAAAACTGAGATTCTTTAAGTCCCAGATTACCTTTTAGCTCAGTCAGATTGTCTCATCAAACTGATCTGCTGAAAACGTCAGATCTTTCATTGAGCTTCCCCACAATGCACGCCCTGTGTAGTCGTGCGCTCCATGAAGAACTCACCTACAGGAGGTCACAGGGTTAACAATCCCTCTAACGCAGGAACAGGGGATGCCCAGAAGGTGGGACACAGTGCGAGGCAGTTAACCAGTGTCCCTGAGTAACTAGTGTAGAAACTTCATTGAGAACCGAATTTGAACTAGTGAAACTGAATTTGCTGGGTAAGCACTCACCAAAAACAGTAAGACATTCTTCGAAAAAGAAGTAAAAGTACATAAAAACATTTATTCATTAGAAGACCAAGAAAATGGCAAGCATATACCAGAGTGAGAGCAGCTCAAGCCAGCTGAGTTAGTTTTTAGAGAAACACATGCCTTCCTTCATAAAGATCATTTATGTATTTTAAAAACAAAGGCAACAGGCCAACAGATATTTTACAGAGAGGACGGGCCCCCACAAACCCCTGCACAGCAGGGCCGGGAGCAGGCAAGGTGAGCTCAGGATCGGTGTCTGCGAGTGGATGCGCGGCGGATGGGCGTGGTTTTCTTGGGGGTCTCATCTTCTGTCATCTCGGCAGAAAGCTCTAAGCAAAGAATTGGGGGAGTGAGGAAACGCCCAGTCACACACACGGTGAGCACTGGATCTCGGAGAACAGAGTGCTCAGCCCAGACCACTGCGCAGAACTAGAACCAGGGTGCACTGCAGGGAGACAGCTGTGGGCGGGGGAGAGGTCCTGGGCCCCGTCAACCCAGCCTCACCCCCAAGCTGGCTTCCTTCGGGCAAGTGCAGGAGGGAGCAGCCTACCTCCCTCACTGGACTCATCACTCGAGAAGACAATTTTGGGTTTCCTCTTAGACGCCCG